TTTAAACAATTAATAAAGTATATCTACCCTACAAATGTTGTGTGATTTAATCTAAAGCACCATAAAAATTAAATTTAAAACAGTGATTAATAAATAAATGCTTTTGAAAAAATACATAGGGAACACACAGTATCATGTTTCATTTGACTCCCACTCTACTAACCTCTGTAGACATGAAGAAAGACCTCTCAAATGAGAACAAACACTATTTATTCAGAACTTACTCTGTAGAATGAGGGAGTCAGCCACCACCGATTGCATTAGACTGACACTCAGGGCAGATATAGGAATGGGAAAGCTTCTGGTGGAAAAAAAGGAAAGCAGGTCCTGCTCAGAGGTTGCAACGTGGGGAAGCTGCAGGCAGGCTGACAGGCAGAAGGGCAGCCTATACAGTTGCTTAGGGGAACACACCTGGCTTTGCCCCGTTTGGTTCTAAATTGAAAGGACTGAAATGAGGAGACAGTCAGTCACTGACCTGGTCCTGACCTGTGGGGCAGACTGCTGTACAGGTTGTGGTCTGGCTTTCCAGTCTGGTAGCTGCAGAACTTCTGTATAAGGGCCTCCAGGTTAGGGGGAGAGTTTCCCAGGTTTCCAGGCAGATTTAGAAAATTCTACTTGCCAAAACCCCCTTTTTCATTGTCTTCAATCAATCATATACTCTGTGGATAGATAAATTATATTGTCTTTATAAGTAAGTATAAACAATGATAATCATTACAGTAATGATGGGTGACAACAATGGTAATTTCTATTATGACAAATCTCATGATTTCTCATTTTGCTAATGTCTACCTTGTGAATCTCAGTTACAGTTAAAGAATGTTAATCCATTAAATTTTTTCTTGCCCCCCTCCACCACCCATCCATCTGATCAACCTTGTGGCAGCAGCTGCCTGGAAACAATCAACTGATGCAAAATCCACCTGGAAATATATGGATCACAAGGTGATGGGGGTGCACCAAAGCCCAGAAATGAGCTTATATCCCAGTTCACCTTTGGAGGTGTAGCCCCAACACTTTGGATCTATTTAATGGAGGGTGTAACTATCCAAGGACTCAAGTCTTGTTGGAAGGTCAGTGACTCTCATCACACAAATTAGGCACTAAACCTCCTTGTACAGGAAAGAAACAGGAGTACATACATCATAAGACCACTGTTGGGTACCACAATCCCCACAGGGCAGATCTGCTCATCAAATACAAAGTGAAGTTTAATTTAGGGGGAGTTTAGTTGACTCCTTCAGATAGCTTAGTGTTATAGTAGCTGGAGTTCTGTTCACATAATTATCATTGGCAGAAACATTCTTCATTTCATAATTTATGTACGGGAAAGTATTTGTAAAATGTCCAGCACTACCTAGATTAATATTAATCATTAACTACTGCATAGAGAAGTACTGACAACATGTCCGGGACAGAAATGAATTAAAACCCTGTGATCCTGAGAACCTGAAAAGAGAAAATACCCCTGGTAGTATTCATTGAGACCTTGTACTTGAGATTTATCTGCATTTGCTTATATAATCTTCACTACAACCTGCTGTTTAAAAACCAGTCTTTTTTTCTTCAAGTGACATAAGCCAAGTTCAGAAACTTTGCTATATAAGAAAATCATGTGGGTAGAAAATGACAGAGCTAGTTTTTAAACTTGGTCAGCCTGTTTCTGAATCTCAAACTCCTAAGCATGCAGGTTTGAAGGGTAGACCCTAGGCTTACATTTTGCCAGGACATGTCACCTCTCAGATCAGTGATTGGAGACCCTCCCTGTTATCATCAGCTTTCCCCTTCTGGCTCTTCACACAATGACTCCCATGCCCAGGTCAGGAATCCTCCATTACACTAATCCAGTCTCCCAAAGCAGCCTTACTTCTGAGTTTTATCGATTAGCTTTACCCACATGAACAATTTTCAGGTCCCTCTGACCTTTCAAGGTCCTGATGGTCAAGACCCCAATCACAGATGACAACAAATATCTCCCCTTCTTATGGCTTCATTTGTCATGTCTCCCAGTGGGTTTTATACAAATTTGGCATCCTACTAAGACTTGATAATTAAATCATCCGCCATGCTTTGTAAATACCTCAGACATTCCCCGTTGTCTTCTGAATCTCAGAAATTCTCACCTTTTCCCTCACTTTCAAAGTGGGTTCAACTACTGCACAAATTAAATAATCAGGAGAAATGCTCCAATTCATTGTCATGAATCCACAATATTCCTGCTTTCCTACCTATTGTTAACATCTTTCCTGTTTAAACTGAAAGTCAGTTCTACCCTGGGTAAGCCCAGTTTATCAAATATATTCCCTTCTCTCTACTCTCTGGAGAACTTTTTATTATTAATTATAAACTGAGGGTTCCTTATCGACAAAGTCCCCATTTCCTTCTAATCTATTCCCCTTAAGCTCTTTCACTCCCTGCATTCTTGAAACAAAAAAATGTTCCCTGAATCAGTTTATCTCTAGTTCCTGCTGAATGTATTTCCTGCTTCCAAAGTAAACTGAAAGAAGAGTGCATGGTTAGTTACAGTCTCCAAACTCCCCTCCCACAATTTGGCTTACTAAAATTAATCTCCCTGTTAAAACTGACCTACCTGCATATTTATAAATCTTGATAACCTTATAGTTATCTCCCCATAGTTAAATCCTATGAATATTTCTCAGTATTTTACTTGGAACTAGAGTAGAATTGGACTATGACCTCCCTCAGGAACTTTTATTTCCTAGGATTCTCTGATATCACAAACTCCTGACTGCCTTTAATCAGTACTTCCCAGCGTCCTTTGCAAGGTTCTCCTCAAACAGTATTATTTACACACCTGAAGACTCCATCTTGGTCTCTCCTCTCTCCTTCTACGATACAGTCTTTGAAAACTCACGCAGTTATTCAGTCTCCCATGGTTACCTCTATAATAATAACGCCTAAAACCTCACGTCTAGATTTCATTTCTGAGGTATCTATACTTGCATGTGAAATAGGAACCTAAAATTAAATGTATATCAAATTGAAGCCAGTGACTGCCTCCCCAAATAGAAAACTACTCCTGCAGTCTCCAGTCTTAATTGTTACACCATTATTCAGGACTTCAACTTCCTCATAACCCCTCAGAACCACACAAACATAGTCAAGGACTGATTTTGTCTCTGCAATGAGCACTATTACCTTTGTTCATTTCCACCAGGACATCCACATACATACCTCCCCCTGAACTCCTAATGCTTCAGTTTCCGGTGTATTCCTCCTAGGTTCCCTCTTTAAATGACCACTTGACGAACTCTCAACTCCCTACTGTCTTGAATAGAACCTACAGAGACACATCTAATTTCTCACTGTATCTCTACTCATCTATTTCCTGTATTTCCTAGCCCCTTGAACTAATTGCAGAAAAGTCTACTGCATATTGATAAGGCAAGTTTCCCTTGACTAGTTTTTTAACCTGTATTTTGTTCCCCTTTTCCTTTTTTTCCTACATTCTTTTGGATATTTTTTAAATTTTATTTTATCTCCACTATTTGCTTTATTAACCATAACTCCTTGGGGGGCCCGCCCCCTCGCATGGGTCTGGGGCCCCGCGAGACGGCGGGCGGGGTGGAGCCGGGTTGGAGGCGGGGGCGCGGCCCGGCTGGCCGGAGCGGGAGCCCGCGGCCCCGGGGAAACGGGGGCAGGAGGGGGCGGGCTCCTAATCCGGCTCTTTCGGGTTCTCCCACCGCCCCGGCCGCGGGCCCCAGCGGCTCCGGCGGCGGGGAGGGCAGCGGCCAGGCTGCCCAGCTTCGCGAAGGCTCTAGGCGGCCGCGGCCCGCAGGCACCCGGCTTGCGCCCGCGCCGCCGCCACGATCCTAAGAGGAAGGTCAGCTCCGCCGAGGGGCGGCGAAGGTGGAGCCCAAGAGGAGATCGGCGAGGTTGTTGGCTAAACCTGCTCCTGCAAAAGTGGAAAGGAAGCCAAAAAAGGCGTCAGAAGAGGATAAATCTTCAGGCAAGAAAGAGCAACGAAAGAGAAAAGGGAAGTAAAGGGAAAACAGGCCGAAGAGGATAACCAAGAGACTGAAGAAGATTTACCTGCAGAAAATGGAGAAACTAAAAATGAGGAGAGCCCAGCCTCTGATAAAGCGGGAGAGAAAGAAGCCAAGTCTGATTAATAGCCATCACCCGGTCTTAGCAGTGGTCCCTGTCTCCCTTCTTGTACAAACCAGGGGAATATTTTTATCAACTATTTTGTAAACGCATGTTTTTTTTTAGTAGCTCTAGAAATATTTTTAAGAAAGAAGGAATCCCACCTCATCCCACTTTTTAAGTGTAAATGCTTTTTTTTAAGCGGTGAAATCATTTGTTGATTGCTTATTTTTTGATACAACCAGAAAATAATGGTATATTGAATATGGGAGGCTTTGATTGTCTTGGGTGTCAGCTTAACATTCCATAGATGGGGGTAGTTTTTATATCCTATAATACACAGAGCATACTTAAATTGCAGTTTAAAGTCAGTTGTGCATGAAATGTCTTGAACGCTTTAAATTACTTCTCTTCTCATGTTGTTTTTAGTAGAATCGTTTCCTAAAGCAAACTGCTCCTTGATCTTGTGCACTCTGTAACATCTTTGGTCGTGGTAGTCCAGTTTTCCTAGTAACTTTGTTAATGCGCTGTGAACGATTGAAAATTTGAGTATATAGTGTATAGGATATTAAATTGTGAATTGGTGGGACTTATGATATAACAGCATATCAACGTTTAACAATATTGGTACTTGATATCCTGTTAAGGAAAATTTGCCTTCAAAGTTTAAGCTGGAAAGTCACTGGAATAATTGTTTAGCAAAGAATCATAACTATGTGATTTTTTTAGATTTTTGTACGTATGTTAAGAATTAGGTACAAATTGAAATGTCTGTGTACTGATTCTTATAACAACCAATAAAAATCTCAATTATGAAATTGAAAAACTATAATTCTGTGTACTTTGTGTGGTTGCTTAAGGATTAATGCTCTTTTTTTATTGAAGTATAGTCAGTTATCATATGTCAATTTCTGGTGTACAGCATACAGTTTCAATCATACATATACATACCTATATTCATTTCCATATTCTCTTCCATTATAGGTTACTACAAGATATTGAATATAGTTCCCTGTGCTATACAGAAGAAATGTGGTTTTTTTTAATCTATTTTATATGTAGTAGTTAATATCAGCAGTTCTCGAACTACCAGTTTATCCCTTCCCACTCCCTTTCCCCCGGTAACCATAGACTCATTTACTATATCTATGATTCTGTTTCTGTTTTGTAGATAAGTTCATTAGTGTCTTCCCCCCCCCTTTTTTTTTTGATTCCACTTGTGGGCATAATTCTGGAGGGAATTCTAATTCAAAAAAATACATGCACCCCAATGTTTATAGCAGCACTGTATACAATAGCCAAGACCTGGAAACAACATAAATGTCCACTGACAGATGACTGGATAAAGAAGCTGTGGTATATTTATATAATGGAATACTACTTGGCCATAAGAAAAGAATAAAATAATGTCATTTGCAGCAACAGAGATGGATCTGGAGATGGTCATGCTAAGTGAAGTAAGCCAGAAAGAAAAATACCCTTGACTACTACTTACGAATTATAAATCCACAGAAATTCCATGTACACAATAACCAAAACTGCTCTCAGATGGCCTGTCACCAAGGCCTATATTCAAATTAAACAATCATCTTTAGATTAAAAATTCACTTACACAATACAATTTGGATCCTCCTGTGTACATTTTCCTCCAGTAATGACCAGAAACAAAAAGAATGGGAAAACTGAGTTTGTGCCTTTATTGAGTATGCAGTCACCACACTCCTGACCACAGAGCTTCATTCTCTGTCTAGAAACAGACATAGAGCTTTCTGTGGACTCTCTTTTTTTTATAGAACTGGTAACTTCACCAGTTTGATAATCCCAAGGACACATCAGGTTTAACTTAGATGCGAATCAAGATACATTTACTCAAGGAGAACCTTCTTTAACAGAAGCTTTTCCTTCTCCTGAGGTTAACCATTTAGATACATGCAGAGAAAATGAGGGTGATTCCTTTAATCTTGCTAATATTCTAAAAGCCTCCAAAATCCATCTTGATGTCTTTGGCTAGAGACTTCACTGTTTTGTGGATTGTGGTCAGGTCTGGGAAGAACTGCAGAGGATTTGCAGCAAGAGAATCAATCTTGATATAAATGAGATTAACCTACAAACAATCTCAGGCTGTGGGTTCAGTGTGGCTCCACATGAGGAGTGGTGTTTTGGATAATATCAAACATTCAAGGAAGATATTTTGAGGTTTATAAAGTGTTCATCTTTTCATACTGAGGTAAATAATACTTAAATTACAATCAACTACATGAAGTTTCCAAGGATGCAGGAAAGAAAAGAATACAATTGGAGAACCTGAGCTTGGCCAGGAAAGATTCTTCAATTCTTACTATGGGTTTAGGAGTAAACAATGGGTGTGAATTCAGTAATATTTATAGATTTTGTGACAGTGAGAATTTCCTCGAATTATTTGATTCATCTGTGTAGTAGAGGTGATTCTTTTTGTGGAAAGTGAGGGAGGTGCTGAGAATATTTAAAAATGGAAAGATATGGAGACAGTCTGAAATATTTGGGAGGCATGAAAGAAGACGTAATCATCTAGATAGAGTATGGAGATGTTTGAAAGATGTTGCGAGATTTGTGAATCTGACCAAGTTTAAGATCCTAGTTATATGCAGCCATGGAAGAAGCAGGCATTTGGAGTCATCCAGGATTGGGATCTTGATCAGCAGATGTGATAAAAGGTCAGAGAGATATGAAAATTGTTGGTCTTCATAACTATATGTTGAAATCACTTAATTTGATTAAACTTGGCATACAAAAGAAGATATGTTGGCACAGATGTTAAGGGAGAGGGTCAGTGCCCTGGAGGTTCTCCTAGCATTTGAGGTCAGGGAAGAAACTGAATAATAACTTGGAATAATGTGGGTTAATTACCTTTAAAAACTCTATGATTTTTATTTTCTAGTAAGTAAATATGGGACAGTGACATTTTCCTTATGAGCTGCAGTAGCCAAAGCCTTCTTAGTTTGGCCCCTAGGAAACAAGATTTCTCCCCTTTTCTCTTAGATCACTCTGCGTTTTCAGGTGGGCTGGTAGCTCACCCCCAGGTAAAGGTTTAGAGATACATGACTGTTTGGTCTAAGAATTGTAGATAAGATTCAAGTCTCATAGTTTCCTTCTGTTTTCTTAGACTTGCTGCTTAGAGCACACACTGTCTGAGAGAGAAGATACAGAGGGAAACAGCTAGCAGCTGAGTTCTTGGCAATGCATCCCTAGGTGACTAGGGACTCGTTCTTTCTCCTGAACCAATAACTATATTTCCAGTAGATAGAAATGTGTCTCCACATGGAATGAGTCTTCTAAGTGTATCCAGGAGGCATTCAGGCTTTGAGCACTAGTCCTGTTGTAACAGAAAAGAACAAATCTGACTCCATATTAGATCTGTTTCTTTGGCTTTAACTCCGTGTCCTGTTTTCTAGGCTTAGTCTTGCTGGCTCTGCACCTTTTGTAAAAGAATATTGTCTATAGCCTGAAATATACAGGAGAGCCTATTCTCAAGGCTCTGACCTTCAAGGATATTAACACTCTTGCACATCTATAAAGATGACAAGTTGCAGAATAGAAAATAACATTTGTTTTGTTAGAGGTTTTACAGGGTCACCATGACCTGACACATGTGGACAGTTGCAAGAACAAAGAATTCCTACACCAAGAAATTTGCAACAACCAACCACACCCCCTCCCCTTTTTAGTTTAAAAGGAGCCTGAATTCTGACATGAGTAAGATGGTTCTCCAGGACATTAGTCTGCCATCTTCTCGGTCTGTCGGCTTTCCAAATAAAGTTGCTGTTCCTTGCCCCAATACCTCATCTCCTGATTTATTGGCTTGTCATGCAGCGAGGACTCAGTAACAGACGTAGGATTCCAAAGTGTTCCTGGAAATGCTGAAGGTACAGTTTGGAAACAAGTAATAATCAACAAGATAAATCAACTGCAATAGATTCATTCTTGCTTATATGCCTGCAGTAAGAGTTGTTGCTGAATTTTGTCTTGACAAAACCATGAAACATTATGCTGAATAAAAATGGGCCAGTTTTTCCCTTAATAATACATTAGTAGTAATCATTTAGTCAATTCCTATAGTTAATGGAATAATAAAGACTATTACAAAGGCATTCATCAATCAGAAGATAACTTTGAATGACTGAAAATTGTGGTGCCAAAAATGTCTTAAATGTTAAGTATATATGTATATGTGCATATACATATATATACATACTTAATATTTATGCATATACACTAAAATAACAAGAATGAGAGAAAACTCTGATAAAAGAAAAATGAAAATGTAGTTTAACTTTTTTAGGGGGCTTTCACGCCAGCCCTCACTGGCTCCCCCTGCTGGCTTGCCCCCGCCCCCTCAAACAGTGCTTGGTTCGTGCCCACCTCCATCAGGGAGCTCAGCCACTGGCCTGGACACCTGCCTAGGAGTTGCCTCACTGCTGAACAGCACACAAGCAAATTTTTTTAAAAACTTACCCCTACAAAATGCCCTCCCTGCAATTTAAAAAAAAAATCCTACTTGCTCCTTACACTCCAGAAACCGCGGGAGGCAAGGGCTCTGGCGGAGGAGCCTCTCCGGGAGCCGATTCCATCCATCCGGGCGCGCCAGGGTCAGCGCTGCAGCCACTCACAGCAGCCCCCTCCCTGTGGTGCCGGGGCTACTGACCGAGCATGTGAGTGGCGGCGGGGGCCACCACCAAGGGGTGCGTCGGCTGAAGAGCCGACCTGATGCAGGGTCTGCGAGTCACCAAACAGCCTGAGGTGGTAAAACGGAGCGGAGTGCGTGCTGATGGCCCGCAGTGCCCCACGCAGCTCGCCGGCTCTGAGCGGTCGCCTGTCAAAGTGTCCCCAGCTCTGTGGACTCCCTGGTCACCCTGCCTCACTTTGCCCCTCTGTCACCTCTGGGGAGCTCAGCCTCACCCCTTTCCTCCCACCTCACTGGGGGCTGCACGAAAATAAAAAAATAAAATAAAATAAAACAGGAAAAGTGTTTTTTTTCTTTTCCGTTCTGCTGGGCTGGTGTGCTGACTTTCGGATCTG